AGAGAGAGAGGAGGAAGCAGGCTCCCTGCCGAGCAGAGAGCCCGATATGGGGCTCGATCCCAGGACCCTGGGATCATGACCTGAGCCGAAGGCAGAGGCTTTAACCCACTGAGCCACCCAGGCGCCCCTATTCAACCAATTTTTAACAGTTGAACATCTTTATTTCTGCCATTAAAAGAAATGCTGTGATGCAAATAATTATCTATGTATTTTTATGCACATTGCTCATTATTTTCTTTGCAAAATACCAACAGGTGGGATTATTGAGTTAAAATACATGACCACTAAAATATTATTTCAACTTTCAAAAACACTTTTCAAATAGATATTTTAAAAGCTCTTGATACATACTGCAAAACTGATTCCCAGGGATGTTGTGCCAAATTATATTCCCACCTGTAGTGGATGAGAATATTTACTTTCAACTTTAATTAGTGGCAGGCCCAGATGGCTCCTAAATTGGATGGATTTTTTTTTTTTATGCCTAATATATAACTTAAGAAAGTACATTCTCCACAGGAAGATTCCTGCTCCCTGCTTCCTTTGCTCAGGCATCACTTGGGTCCTCGTGGGTGTAGAAACCTTGGCTCCAGCTGCTCATCTCAATCTCAATCTCTGAAGCTTAAGGGCTTACTTATCATTACAGTTTTACCCTCTGTTCTTGGTGCAGAGAGACGCGCATTTCTTGGTTTTCATCTTTTAAATACACAAACATAATTTTAAATGTCATTTCTAAGTGTAGGAGCAGAATGGGGAGGTTTTGGCATGAGATCACTCTGCCATCTTGGTAGATGGTAGTCTATTCTGAATCCTGACAGCTCTATTTTCTTGCTTTAATACTGTGGACTTTTTCAGGATCATATACTGGTATGCTGATGGATATATATATTTGTTTAAAAGATCTTGAATGAAATGTGTGTGCATATATATATATACACACATACACACATAATAAATGCATAAACATAAAAAACATAACACACACATGCATGTGTGTAAGTGTGTGTGTGAGACGTATTTCTCTTTATAAAAGCTTGAATTTAGAGGATTCTCTACTCAGAATTGGTTTTTGACCTTTGAAAGGATACGTGGACCCTGTGGCTGCACTGACATTCAACCAAGTAGTTGTCGGTGTTACCCTCTCGCAGCTCTGGCAGGGAGCTGGCCAGCGTGCCCTTCTGTTGTGAGTAGAAAGATGATGCAGCAATCTGAGGGGAGTGAGAGGTGAGCCAGGACCAGAGGTGGCTGTCAAGAGCACTGTGGCATCTGGTGCAGAAGCCCTGTCCCGGGCTCCCTTTCCTATGTGCCCCAGTGCATGTCAGATGTCAAGTATGTCTACACTGCCTAAAGGACCAAGCCCCAGTTGGCCTTCTGCTTGACACAGAATCTGTGAATCGTGAGGATTTCAAAAATGTCACTGACTCACCAAGATAAAAGAAGAAAACGAGCCCAGTTACTCCCTCGCCAGTCGTTGGCTTTATTCATTACCCCTTCAAATCAGAATGCATTAAGGACTGTCCTCCTGCCACAGTGACCTCCAGTTACTCCCACAATCGTGACTATTGTTCAAAAGGGGGGCTAACAAGTTGGTGGTTCGTGTTTTCACTGTATGTGGTCCTACCTGCCCTATCGAAAACTTTTTGGGATTTGCCTGTAACGACTATTGCTTTTGAATATTTTTACTCTATTTTTACACTACATTTATCATTTCTTTGGGAATTTTGAAGGAACTTAAGATGCCTGGAATTGGCTGCCAATTTACCAGGAAGTCAATAAGTTCTTATTAAAGACCTCCTATGGAATATCTGGCCAGATATTATTTTATTATGCATTTAAAAAACAGAACTGCAGGGGCGCCTGGGTGGCTCCATTGCTAAGCGTCTGCCTTCAACTCAGGTCAGGATCCCAAGGTCCTGGGATAGAGCCCCACACTGGGCTTCCCGCTCTGCAGGCTTCTGCTTCTCCCTCTGCTACTCCCCCTGCTTGTTCCCTGTCAAATAAATAAAATCTTAAAAACAAAAAACAAAAAACTGCTTCTTCCTGCTTTTGTTACAGGATTATTTTGTCAATCTAGATGTTGGCCGAAGACTGCAGTTCAAAACAAGTAGCTCTTTCAAATAAAGATTACACTAACACATTACGATACTGACTGTAAATATTGATGGAGATCGACATAAGCACATCTAAGGGTTCCAATACCAATTGAAAAATGCCTATTTGTCTATATAACATTTCAGTGGAGGCAGTATAATGGAACACACCTAAGTTTTGTTATAGTTAGCAATAAACAACTGCAAGATAAGCTGCTGATTCAGACTCTTAACCACGGTTTCCTGTGATGGTTACATTTTAACTCAAAGTTGAAAGTAACATTAAATGTTATATATTAAGAAAAGCTCTCATCTACTCTATTTTCAAATGGCTCCATACTAAAAGATTTAAACAATAATTACTTAATACTCTGCACAGAGGAAAAAGTACATTTAAATGAGCTGCTTTAAATAATAGTAAGAATATGGTGCCAGCATTAGCAGCACCAGCAGCAGTGATGTCCACTGTGGACTATCTTCTATTACCTGGTGCTTGGTTAGCCACTTCCCAAGTATCTCACTTGATCCCCCAATCCTGTCACTTCAGATATCGTGAGCTCCACCTTTCACATGGCGAGAGAGAACCAGAGATGAAATCATTTGCCCAGTGGAGTTGGCTGGCTAACTGGGATGCTCCCTGGGGCACCTCCAGGGATCTGCAGGGCTTCTGCAGAGCACTGTTTATGTGGGTTCAGATTGGTCCTCTGGGCTGCCTCCAGGAGCCCCAGACTTCTCCATTGCTAGAGGCATCCTGACGAGAGCTGAAGGGCCAGGTTTGCAAGGCAATGGGAAGCATTAGTGTTCTCTACATTAAGATCCTACATCTTAAGTGGGGGTTTATGCACACGCTGAAGATGGATGCAAATGTGTGTGATTGCACATGTCTGGGAATAGGGCTTCTGTGAGATTTCAGTGGAGGCCACTATCCAAAAAAAGGTTCAGAATTATCTCCTACATATTCCCCAGGGACTGGTTTTAAGCTATAATACCCAAGAAATCTGATTCTCATTTCTGAGGAAATCCCATCGTATAACATCCCAGAGTGTACTTATGCTAAGAAGAAAGTAGAGGTAATTACCCAAGAGAAAATTCCAAATTGTTACTTGAGATAAGCAGACAGTCACACCAAAGGAAATGAGGTTAGAGACTGCAGTTGAATTATCTACCTCATGATAGTGATTTTCTGCTTTTCATTACATACAGAAAAAACCTACTGCATAAAGAAAAAGAAAAACGAGCTGAGTTTATCTGAATTATCAAACATAAAAAGACGTGTCGTAAAAATTATAAAAGGACTGGGAATATATGCCAATATTAGCAATTATATTTCTACATAAAAAGACAATGCAGAAACTATTTGTTAGTTTAAACAGCAGACTTGGTACAATCTTATGACAGATAAAAGGTGCAGATGGAATTTTTCACTTTTCTTCCAAAGAAGTTCTGCTGAATTTCAAATATTTTCTTTGAATAATCATGTTTGACAAATGTAAAGGTTAATGTTAGCGAGGTAATTAAAACTGATGATCGCAATGTCCGCTGGGCTATGTGTGTGTGTGCAGGTGTTTCCCTCCACTGTTCCCACCCTCACTTAAAAATGTCTAATATATAAAATTCTGAGTATACATATAATACATTAGAACTGATTATTTTCATCTACTCTGAAACCTACAGAATTTGTTTACATAAAGAGTTCTTACAGGGTTTTTGAAATATAATTTTTGATTTTTTAAAAATGTAATAGGTTATACAAAATTAAGAACAAAAGACCTCACTGCAGAAATTGAGCAGATACTATTAGAGGCATGTCTTTCAAACCTCTTTTTGTGACATAGTTTTGAAGTTAAAAATTACCCCCAAAGGGTGTTTAAAAAGAAAGCCAAACCATTTGCTACCTAGGACTTTACTCAAAACTTGGATACTTTGTTAACAAAGAATTTCATCTGTGCCTTTCCACACTTATATTTTTATATGTTCCCAGCATAGGGAAGATTAAGAGTGGCAAACAGGGATAGCGGAATGGGAGAGGCCAACCGGCAGACAGACTGACATCGCGGGAACAGACGTAAGAACAAACAGATAAAAACGGATACTAAATCCATGAAGAGCCAAAAGTGCTGGGAGGCAGGAGGAGGGACGCATGGCAATGCCCAATCATTTAAGCTCTCCCCAAGGATCTCCCTGTGTGCTGGGTTGTTGGAAGTGACTTAGCCAGTTGCCCTGCTTCTCTTTCTAGCCCAGTGCTGACTCTGGGGGTGTCCAGTGACAGATCATGCAGTTCTTTTAAGAAAGGTATTCTCTTGGCCCTGGCTTAGGAGTAAATGCCTGAGCCAGCAGCTCTGATGAGGAGGGAACTGGTTCAGCTATTCCACCGCCCTTTAATTAATTACCCTGCCGACTGCCCAAGGGTCTGTTCCTAGTTTTCCCTGCCTGTGATCCTGGAAGTTTTTTCATGGTTCTACTTAACTCACTGTTTCAGCAGTTTTGTTGTTCATCTTTATTGTGTTTTGGGGTCTTTTGTTCAGCTGGGCTATACCTTCAATTTTATCCTATCTGTTGCATATTATTCAAAAATTCCTCAATGTGGGTTCTAATCTTTGAGGTTTCCAGTGCTGCCGTGGATTTATTTTTCTGTTTATTCTCCCATTTCAAAAAGACTTTGGATGGAAGTAGAGGTAATCAGCGATCTTCTCTTGGAAGCCATTTCAGGCACTTTAAATAAAGTAAATATTCTCCCCCTACAATTAGTGTATTAAGATTGTTTTTTATCAATTAGCTATTAATTTTACTGTAGGCAAACCAACACATTTAACAAAATCAAACTGTCAAGCTTAGTATTTCTTTTGTTCTGTTAAATAAATTATTAAAGAAAGAAAGAAAAAAAAAAGTGAAAAATTGCAGAAAACTTACAATCCATGTCAAGTATGGCCCGAACAGATTTAACGAGCTCCTTAGATTCAAGAGCCAGCGTTGCTGGGATGTTACGTCCATTCCTTCCCAGTGGTGTAAGAGAAGTCTGAGAAGCTAACATGGCTCTTCTTTCACTGTGAGGGCAGTAACATAAAGTTGAAATTATCATTCAATAAATAACATCTATTTTGACTTAATCTGAATTCTTATGTATAAAAATATTTGTACTCCTGGGAATAGTGTATTCTTACAGCCATAAAATGAAGTAATCATAAAACATTTGTTTTCAGTTCTTTATTATGTAACAAAGACATATTTAAAGAATTAGATTGACCTCATAATAAGGAGGAATAAATCATTTCTTGGGCTTATTTTGTGAGTGCTTATGTTACGCTAACATGATGTAGCCTTTAGTTTTGTAAAAATTCAAATGAAGCATTAAACAGAAGATAGAGTATATTAAAAAGACTGAGCCATGGGGCGCCTGGGGGTTCAGTTGGTTAGGTTAAGCATCGGCCTTTGGCTCAGGTCATGATCTCGGGGTCCTGGGATCGAGACCCACGTGGGGCTCCTTACTCAGCGGGTAGCCTGCTTCTACCTCTGCCTTGCTGCTCCCCCTGTTCGTGCTCTCTCTCTCTAAAAGAAATAAATAAAATCTTAAAAAAAAAAAAAAGACTGAACCATATTTTTCTAGAGTTTAAGTTTCCAAGATGTGGTAAAAATTTGCTTAATGTTGTTTTTTAAGGTTAACCTTTCTTCTTGAACCAGTTTAAGGCAAGGGTAGGCTCTGGCTTTTAAAGATTTACTTATTTATTTGACAGACAGAGATCACAAGTAGGCAGAGAAACAGGCAGAGAGAGAGAGAGGAGGAAGCAGGCTCCCTGCTGAGCAGAGAGCCCGATGCGGGGCTCGATCCCAGGACCCTGGGATCCTGACCTGAGCCAAAGGCAGAGGCTTTAACCCATTGAGCCACCCAGGTGCCCAGGCTCTGGTTTTTAAATAGCCATTTTTAACCTTCATATTTAATGCCAAAACTTCTGAAATATTATTCAAGGGCATGAGACCTTGACGCTTGGGATGGGGTATATACCTAAACACACAAGAGGAATCTGCTTGCTAAGTATTTTAAATTCTTATTGAAAATAATTATCATGAAATTCACATAATTATCTTACATCATTACCAGCATGGATAGCAATAAAATGTCAGATTTTTCATTAGAATAAGGCATTATAATAAAATGAATTTAAAAATGTACTATTATCGCATAACATATGGAATAATCAAATTACTATGTTGTACACCTGAAACTAATATACATTGTATGTCAACTATATTTCAGTAAAATTTTTAGAAGTATACTACCATAGACATTCTTCTAAAGTAAAAAAAATGCCATGTGAAACCCTAAAATATAATAAGAACACAAAGATTCAACTTCATTTATTTATTTATTTATTTATAAAAAGATTTTATTTATTTATTTGGCAGACAGAGATCACAAGTAGGCAGAGAAGCAGGCAGAGAGAGAGGAAGGGAAGCAGGCTCCTCGCTGAGCAGAGAGCCCGATGCGGGGCTCGATCCCAGGATCCTGGAATCATGACCTGAGCCAAAGGCAGAGGCTTTAACCCACTGAGCCACCCACGTGCCCCATCAACTTCATTTATTAAACTGCTGTTTTTATAGTGAAGGGCAGAGTCTTCCTGTTTCTGCAAGCCTGTATTGCTAGAAGTAGAAATACATCGCTAGTGGCAGCTATTATAAGATGAGGGAAAAAACTGCTTTGAAAATGTATGAACAGGAAACTTTCTTTTGTCTATCTTTCATTATGTATCAAAATGACCATAAACTTGCAGTTTGAAATACATAAATCTTATTAGTAAGTTTGTAGCTCTTAGTAAGAAACTTTAAATTGGAAACAAACTGTGAATAATAACAAAACCAAGGTGTATCCTCCAAATGTATTCCTTTTATTTGTGTCTACTGAATGTTGAAAATGAAAGAAACTGATTGCATGAACATGTTTTATAAAATTCTGTTTGCCATAACAACTGATCTGCTGGCTTGAGACTGACCTTTCAAGTAATTTTTATTCATACACAGGATGCTTACAGAACTTCAAGGTAATCCCATTTTTACAGAATTCTTGATAAAAACAATATAGGTGATTCCTACCTCAATTTTCAAGTTCTAGGTTATAATAACTGGCTAAATCTCTCCAGGAATTTATTTTACAGAGATGGGGTCAAAACAACATGTCCTTGTATCTGTTTCCACAAAACATGAAAAAACAGCATCCAGTAGGAGTTATGTCACATTTTAAGATTATTTAAGAGATTTTAGTATTTTAATCAAAATTACCAAATGAAAAACGTAATCATACTCTACAGAAAACACATAAATATTCTTACCTTAAATTTGATAAAGGAGAAGTATTATCAGACAATAATTCTTGAATAGTCTAGAGACAAGACAGTAAAGGAGATTTTAAGTTTGATATTTTTAGGATGTCTTTTCTTATTTAACTAATATTTAAAACCTCACCCCCCTCTTCCCACTCCCAATTGATTAAAAGGTGTTTCTATTACATGGGGGAAAAATCAATTACATTGACACGGAACTCTACTCGGATGTGTAATAACTATGGAAACATTTCTTTATAGAGTAAATATTTATCAAATAACGTTTACATAGTATTAAGAGTTTTGAGAAAGTGTTCATAAAAACATAGTGTATATTTGGGATCATGTTATCCTATCTCAATTATTTCTCTTAACAATCTATTGGTTAGCTGGTCTTTTCATTATCTATGCAATTTTAAAAATGACTATAAGTTAGCATTGTTATTTTGAGGCAGAGAATGTTTCAATAGCCACCAAACACTAAGACACTTGTCTATATGTCAATCGTCTACAGATATCTTAAAAATGGACATAAAGTAACATAATGGGAAAGTTTACCTCTACAAAATGAAGAAGCTTTTCAGTGGATGCCTCAAAAGTTTTTCGAGCCATTTCTGATTTTCGCAATTGGCAGTCGAGTACTGTAATTCTCTTTTTTAACTCCTGAATACTTTCCTGGACAGAGGTATTAAAAAGAAGGTTTTACTTATTTCTTTGATTTTTACATCAGTGGCTCCTATTTTCAGTTTTTACTAACTGATACCAACATTACCGTATTATTTATTTTCTCTCACTGTATTTATCTTCTGATCTGGGGAGACATTTAACTAATTGCATATTTAGAAGTTGAACTGCATAGGGATGCTGCAAATTTTATGAGATAAGCTGTAGATGACTTTGTTGATTCTTACAGTAAAATACATTTAAATTAAGTTTATCAGGTTTTTTTGTTTTGTTTTGTTTTTTACAATATGGCTTGCCAGCTGCTGACAGAAATTGCTACCAGTGTGGGACAATGATAATTGCTGAAGATATACATATATATTTAACGTAATATGTCCAATGTAAAGCTGAGCTGGCAAGGGAGTAAAGGAATCCCATGGACAGTAAAGGAATTCCATGAAGACAAACAACAACAATGCTGGGTGAACTCAGTCATTAGAGTAAGCATACAGTGCAGCATAATTTGTTCTGAGGGTACATCTTTAGGCACAGATGGCAAACAAGAGAACTTTAATGGGTGAATTGGAAAGAAACAAACCTTATAGAAGTAAATATATGATTTTGATTTTGGTTCTGGCAGGTGGGTTAAAAAAAGTCTCCCCTATAACTTCTAATCACAAGCCCCAACTCAAGAAGGTTTGAGGTCATAATTTGTATTACCCATGTATCCTGTAAATTTGTAAGCTTAAATTTTAGTTTAAAACAGTCCCAGACTGGTAGAAGCAAACACAAAACTTCCGTGGAGGGATATTTTCTAAACTCAGATCCCAAAGAATGTGTACATATAATGTGTCAAAAGAACATGACCTCAGGAGATAAGCGACCATGAACAAAAGTCAGCTGAAGGAAATAAATTATAGACACATAAAGACAACAGATACTGTAATGATCAGATACAGACTAAAATGTTTAATGTCTTAAAAAATATGGAGGAATTTAAAACATAACAAAGGGAAAAGAAACTATAAAAATAGATCCATAGGACATAAAATAATGATTCTTAAAAATAAAAGTATAATCAAAATTAAAAGATCATTTATGGGTTTAATATTCAATTAGATATAGTTGAAAAGAGAATGGGTAAACTGGAAGACAGAGCCAAAGAAGGTTCTCATAATGTACCAGAAAAATAAAAATGGAAAATATAAAAGAAGGAGAAGAAGCAAGGAGAATATAACTAGATGAAAATCTAGCATACTCCCCATCTAGATCACACATGAGGGTTCAGAAAGAATGAAGGAGAAATTGCTCAGTATAATTTGGGGTTTTTCAGAAATAACAAAAGACACTGTTCCTCAGACCAGGAAGCTCAGTGAATCTCAAACAACATAAATAAAAATAAGTCAATACATGACTCATAGTCAAACTGCTGAATGCTGAAGATAAAAAGATTTGAAAATCATCTAGAAAGAAACAACGGACTGCAAACAAATAACAGATTGACTGCTGATACTGCAACCATGGAATAAAAACTGAAAGAAATTAAATGCCAACTTACTTTAAATGTAGCAAAAATGTTATTTCAAGAGCAAGAGTTCAATAAAGATGTTTTCAGACTGACAAAACTGAAGAGAATTTGTTACCAACAGATCCTCATTAAACACATTTCTAAAACATGTACTTCAGGAAGGAAATAATTTTAGCAAGAAGGTCTGAGATGCAAAAAGAATGCTGAACATAAAAAATGGTAAACATGGGCATCTATTTAAATAAAGTTTGACAGCACAAAATTAACTACAATAGTGTCTAATTTATGGTGTTAAAAGTCAAGAAAGAACTAAAATGCTGACAAAAATAGAAATTAAGTAGGAAGGGATGATAGGATTTATGTTTTAAAGTGCTCATAATATTTAGAAAAAGGTGAAAGCTAGTGATTAGTTTTATAGTTTATGTTAAAACAGAATGTTAAAATTTCTAAGATAATCATTAAAACTTAGAAACGGAGTGCATACCTTCAACTAACGGTCAAAAATCAGTAAGACGAGGAAAAAATTCAGATATATGCTGTTTTCCACACACACACAATTGAAACATAAGGACACTGCAAAATTAGAAGTAAAAGAAAGGAAAACACACACAGGTAATTACCAAAAGAAAGCTGCTGTAACTATTTTAATATCAATCAAAAATAAATATTGGGCGGAAAAAAGATTGCTAAATTGAAGAGTCACAACATTCCATAAAGGATGATAATGTAATTCTAAGCTTGTCTGTTGCTAAAAATATTACTTCAAAATATATAAATTTAAAAAAAACGGAGATTTTAATGCATTTCTCTGACAAGGAAATTAAAATGATTAGAGAAGAACTGAACTCTACAGTTAATGACCCCGATCTTGTAGACTATAGAAAATGATACATCAAAAAACTGCAGAATTCCTTTCAAGCTCACTTTGAAATGTGTGAACACTGGTCACATAGTAAACCGTGAAGCAGCCATCAACAAATTTTAGAGTTAGTATGCTATAGACTAGATTCTCTGGTCACGGTGCAATTAACCTTTCTGTGACTCACTGGTGTTCATTAATAAAGACTCAATCATAAATATGTAAATTTTCCCCAATTAATCTATATATTTAATGCACTTTCAGTAAAAGTTCCAATAGTTTCTTCTTTTTTTTCCCTTTTGGTTGAATATATAAGCCAAGTCTAAAATACATATAAAAGAGATCAAAGGGTCATGTAGCCAACATACTTTTATTTATTTATTTATAAAGATTTTATTTTTTTATTTGACAGAGATCACAAGTAAGCAGAGCGGCAGGCAGAGACAGAGAGAGGGGGAAACAGGCTCCCTGCCAAGCAGAGAGCCCGATGCGGGGCTCGATCCCAGAACCCTGGGATCATGACCCGAGCCCAAGGCAGAGGCTTTAACTCACTGAGCCACCCAGGCACCCGGCCAACATACTTTTAAAGGAAAAGAACTAGATTGGGTGATCAGATAATCAATTCTTACTATAAAAGATATCGTAACCAACACAGTGTATTATTGGCACAATAACATACAAATAAACCAATGAAAGACAAAAAAGGGCCCTCAGTAAGACAGACACACATGAAATCTTGATATGTGACAGAGCTGATTTGCAGATCAATCAGGAAACAAGAGACTTGAATAAATGGTGCTGGGATAGTTCATTCACTTAGAATAAAGTCAGAATAAAATGGATCCCCACCCACACATAATGCCACAGAACCAACGACAGAAGGATCAAAACTTTAAAACTTTTATTTTTTAAAAGATTTTCTTTATGGGGTACCTGGGTGGCTCAGCGGGTTAAAGCCTCTGCCTTTGGCTCAGGTCATGATCTCAGGGTCCTGGGATCGAGCCCCGCATCGGGCTCTCTGCTCAGCAGGGAGCCTGCTTCCTCCTCTCTCTCTCTCTGCCTGCCTCTCTGCCTACTTGTGATCTCTGTCTGTCAAATAAATAAATTAAAAAAAAAAGATTTTCTTTATTTATTTGAGAGAGAGAGACAGAGAGAGCCTGTGCATGAGTGGGGGGCCTGGAGGGGCAGAAGGAGGAGCAGACTCCCCACTGAGCAGGGAGCTGACAAAGGGCTCTGTCCCGGGACCCTGAGATCATGACCTGAGCTGAAGGCAGACACTTCACTGACTGAGCCACCCAGATGCCCCCAAAACTTTAAAACTTTGAGAGGCAAGTATCAAAGGATATCTTTGGGAATGGAAGACCTTCTAAAAAGACAGGAGGGAAAGCATTGGTAAGTTCAACTATCTGAAAACCAATGTTTATCTTACCATTGGGGGAAAGGCAAGCCATAAATTTGAGAAAAGCCTTCAATAATATGTAACTTAATATAGGGTTAGGAACTGGAACATATATGTACAATCACTACATATTAATACAAAAAGAGTAACCCAATGGGGGTTAAGTAACCCAATGGGGGAAAAAATGGCTGAAAGTAACGAAGAAGCATTTCACAAAGAAATACAAATGTTTAACAAGTATATAAATACATGCTCAACTGGCTACCTGGGCCAGGGGGAAAAGCCCTGGTGTACAGCATCTGGGGGTGTAAATACCTCTTCCCTGGGTGATTTCAAGCTACCAACCTGATAGCGCTCAATAAGCCATTAAGAAGAGATGCCCACATTCGCCAACTGTGAGCTGGGGCCAGCTGGTCCCAGCATGCCAGTGCCTTCAAGTCATTAGTAACCAGGGAAATCCAAACTAAACCACAATGAGATCTCCTTATCACACCTACCCAGATTGATATAAATTAAAAGGAAATGAAAACAAAATGTCGGCAAGGGTATGGGGTGAACGGTATCTCTCATTCACTACTGGTGGCAGTAAAAATTGGTTTGAAAGCTTTTAGATGCAATTAGGCATTACCCAGTAAAGTTCATCGATCACCGTTCAACCTAGCAGTTCCACTCGAAGATATGAACCCAAGACAAATTGTTACGCATACGGAGCACAATGTTATGTACAAAAATATATTTAGCAGCATTGTTCATAATAAAGAAAACAGAAACAATCGGACTGTTAATCAAATACAGAATGGACCAAGATAACTGTAGTATTTCCATTTAAGGGAGTACAAAAATGTGATGAAAAAAAGTGATGAAAATACATGAACTGGCTATAAATTTCAAATAGATGAATTGCGAAAATAAGAGGTTGAGTGAAGAACGCAAGTAGGAAGAATACATGTAGAACATTTCTATTTATATAAGGTTGATGAACAGGCAAGACTCAACAACATTAATTGTTAAGAGATATAAAGATACATGGTAAAATTATTGAGAAAGTGGTTAATACTAAATCTAGAAAAGCAGTTACTTCTGAGGGCGAGGGAGGGGGATGCCAACTGGGGAGGGACAATGGATCTTCAAAGGTATTGGCAATGTTTTACTTCCTAAGCTGGAGGTAAACAGAAAAAAACAAAAACAAAAAAGGTAATTAAGTAAGTATAGAGATGAGATAAGGGAAAACTTACAGTGAAAAATAAAAACATTGTTACAAAAAGAACCTGTGTCTTAAAAATGAATCTTTGAATCTGAGTTCTGTAATATCTTGGTCCATGTCTCTTAAAGCAATCTCAAATAATTTAAAAAAAAAACGCAAAAAACCAAAACACGATTCCTTCTCTTTCTCCACTGGCACTGAGTTTGGGAAATGTTTAGATGCTCTCAACTATCTTTTTTTTTTTTGGAAAATAAACAAACAGAGATGCCTATGTGGCTCAGTCAGTTAAGCGTCTGCCTTTGGCTCAGGTCATGATCCCAGGACCATATTAGTCTCCTGCTCAATGGAAAGCCTACTTCTCCCTCTGACTGCAGTTCCCCCCTGCTTGTGCTCTTTCTCTCTCTCTCTGACAAATAAATAAATAAAATTTAAAAAAAAAAAAGAAAAATAAAATATTTTTTTTTCAGAGATAAGTTAAGGGCTTAGCTTAGAATCCTGTTATGAAGAATGGCATGAGACCCCATTACGCTGAAAAAGAGAAAACATGAATTAATTATATTGCCAGACAACTTAGGACAAAAATGTGTCTCAGCTCGAGCTGGGACAGAGAATTGCAAATAACCTATGTTTAAAAAAAAAAAAAAGAATAAATTCATGAGAACTCTTTGAATATTACCTAGAAAAGTATTTTTATTTTGTTTATTTATTTATTTATTTATTAAAGATTTTTATTTATTTATTTATTTGACAGAGAGAGATCACAAGTAGACAGAGAGGGAGGCAGAGAGAGAGAGGGAAGCAGGCTCCCTGCTGAGCAGAGAGCCCGATGCGGGACCCGATCCCAGGACCCTGAGATCATGACCTGAGCCGAAGGCAGCGGCTCAACCCACTGAGCCACCCAGGCGCCTCTAGAAAAGTATTTTTAAAGACTGTTGATTATCCCTCCAAAAGTACATAGAGTTTTATATAAAACAGTACTTCTCAAATGTGTTTTTAATCCTTTTTAAAAATTTCATTAATTTAATTAAAAAAAATTTTTTAAAGTGTTCAACGATTCATTAGTTTTGTATAACACCAGTACTCATTCCAATATTGCAGCAACTTCAAGACACATCTCTAAAGGCAAGGGAAATGAAAGCAAAAATGAACTTTTCGGACTTCATCAAGATAAAAAGCTTTTGCACAGCAAAGAAACAGTACTTTTGATATTTTGATAATTCCCAGTATTTTCAGAATCATGTTAAAGTTATTCACATGAAATAAACATGTATCTCTGATTTCAGAATGTAAACATTGGGCCAAAAATAATAAATATATGTAATATTTTTGAGTATAGCTGCCTTTTCAAGTAATATGATTTTCCCTTGGCCTTGTGTATTATCAAAGAGCGACAAGAACATCAGCTGTCTTTTGGAATTGGTTTAAATGGGCAGATGTGAGAAATGTAATAGTGACTCATAGAGCTGACCAAAGAAAATTTCTGATTTTCTCCTGTATTTTACTTTTTTTAAAAGTGGTTTCATTTCCACTTGGTATATTTAAGGTATTTAACTGTTTTATATTCATATAAAGAAACATGAATTCTTTAAGTTCACTTTAAGTTTTCTTGAAAGTGAATTTTTAAATTCATTTTTTCTTGAAAGTTTACTAGATTAGAGATATAAATACCTATTCTAAGTGAACTCGTTAAAAGTTATAAAACATATATTTCAATTTACTTAATTTTCTATCTCGGTGAAATAAATGTCTATTACAGTTTTTGAAGACCTTTCAATGAATATAGTATGTATTATGTTATTAAAAAATCACAAACTAAAAAAATTCACATTAAAAAAAGATCACGTTGCTTTCTGAACGGCATTTGGTATTTTGCTATTGAAATTGGAGCCTATTAAATTCAAACTCAGTTTCTTTCTGTTAATTATCTTGGGCCCTGGGCAAAAATTATTTAACATTCACACTTCCTTGAGTGCTCTAATCAAAGAGCAAAACCCATCCCTAGACTCTTCTCCTCTCATCCCCACCAGGCAAATTAGCAAGTTTAGGAACAAAAGGGGAAAACCAATGTAATCAATTAGATGTTAAATAGTTCCAGGACTTTATGCCTGAGCTGTACAATGTTGACCAATGACCCAAATCAATTTGGGGCACATGCTTTTCCAACCCTAAGCTATGCGGATAAAGGGACACTCACAACCTTCACATGAGCCCTCCACCCCCATCCCATCAGGACACACCATCCTATCATTGAATAATAGAAGACAAACACTGACCTAGTTTAGAAGTGCAGATGAAAAGGAAATGAAAACAGGATACATGACAACGGCAAGGAAACCATGGTAACTAAAAGAGAGGACGGTTTTGCTTACTTTATTGTGGTCCGAATAATCAGCAAGCTGAGCCTTTAGATCTGTGATCTCGGCCTCTAACAGATGGATCACTTCTTCATAGTCCATTTCCATCCCGTGTGCCTGGCGCTGTGCAGCCTCGGCAAGGTGGATGCGACTTCGCAGGGCTCTGGTTTCTTCAACCACAGCTTTGGCTTCCTGAGGATTTCAAAATACAGGCCGTTGAAAAAAAAAATGCCATGTTAAAAAAACAGTTTGGCAAAACAGGTGGAACAAAATCTTTTACTTTATCTGGAAGTTATAATTCCCAAACTCAATCAATAGATACGTGCTCCTCACATCTCAATTTAAAACTTAGTATCCACCTTATTTTATTATGTAGAGCAAATGCCTGATCTTACTTTTCCTCTCTCGATTTCTTGGACAGTTTTCAGTATGGAATCCCCAACTTCACACACCTAGCATAACATTTTGGAAATAAGGGAAGTAGAAGGGAATTGGAGAACAGAATTAAGAACAGGTTCAACAGATACAAAGAGTAGGCTTCCACAGAACTCTAGTATGTGGTAGTGCTGATGCTCTAGGAAGAGTCTTGCAGCTTCAAAAGTAGCTGAGAGATCTGTGGTGTTGTGGACTTCCTTGTGGTCCAAGCCCAGGATCCAAAGCTTATTTCTAGACATCAGTCTGTTACATCCCCCTTATGATTTACAATGGTAAGGCCTCTGGTATCCTGTGAATCTTAACACATGAAAATCCTTTTGAAACCTCCTTTTTCCTTACCTCCCCCAACTCCCAAGTATATAATCAGACACCCCTCACAACCCCAGGACAGAAGCTCTTTCCGCCCATGGGTCCTGTCCCCATGCTTTAACGAAACAACCATTTTGCAACCCTTCTCTCTCTCTCAAAACAAACAAACAAACAAACAAAAAGCCAAAAGGTGGAATTCAGTAGCAAAACATCTTGTTATTTCTATAGGGTGCAATGCTCACAAGACATTTATTAGACATGTTATGTCTTAGATGATTCATGGGTCTTTTATCATTTAATCTTTAGAATAGTATCAGAGAGGTCATTATTAAAAACCATTTTATACATAATTAAACAGAGGCTCAGAGAGGTTACATATCCTCTCCAAAGACACAAAGGAGTGCCAGAGTTTAAATCCAGGTCTGCCGAACTCCAACATTAGTGCTCTTTTCACCATTTTACTTTGCTATTAAATGATGAAACAAATAAAACAAAACTATATACTAGCTACACTCTCCACCTTAGGAAGAAGATGGGGTGACCAAAAACACGTGCTCCCTCAAAATGTGCTTTGGTGTTAGGTCAACGACAGTCCCCTCCCCATGGACACCAATATAATTTAGCATGGCAGTTATTATACTATAAACCATTTATTTTCCTTTACTTGATGCAGAAATCTCATTTTTCTTTCTTTCTTTTTTTTTTTTTTAAGATTTTATTTATTTGTCAGAGAGAGAGGGAGAGAGAGCGAGCACAGGCAGACAGAATGGCAGGCAGAGGCAGAGGGAGAAGCAGGCTCCCCGCCGAGCAAGGAGCCTGATGTGGGACTCGATCCCAGGAAGCTGGGATCATGAACTGAGCCAAAGGCAGCTGCTTAACCAACTGAGCCACCCAGGCATCCCGAAATCTCATTTTTCTACAATGAAACTTTCTGCTCCACTCGCCATGGCTAATATTCAAGTATGGCTATTTTAATTTTCTTGGAGCTATTACAGGATGCCTACTTATGAGTCTAAATGCATTTGAAATGAAGGGAGAGTTAGAACATGGGCATATTTTTAAGGGTCAATTTTTCACTCATACATTCAATCAATGTTTATTAAGTACTTGCTATGTGTCAGGTTCTGTTTCAGGTACTGAGGTGGGAGCACCTAACAAAATAGACAAAAAGTCCTCCCTCATGTCCTTTTCAGACCTGAATTTACATTATAGTTTGGGGAGATATACAGTAAATTAGGGATTATCAGTGAAGATCTCCCTGAGATTATATGTAATCAGAGACCCGCACAAAGCATGGAGCCATGAAGGTTTCCCAAGGAGCTTTTTTTAGGGCAAACAGAATAGTTCGTGCAAAGGCCCTGAGATGGAATTGTTTGTTGCATCTTTAGAGAATAGTGAGGAAGCCAGTGTGGCATTACGTTGAGAGTGGTAAGAGACAGGCAGAAGGGACTCGTAGGACACAAGGAGTGAGGGCAGGGATGAGGCTGGGGTGGAACGGCCGATCTTAAGAGGCTTTGTAGGCCATGATAAAAACTTTGGTTTTACTCAGGGTTAGATGGGAAGTTACTGGAGGGTTTGGAGCAGAGAAATGATTATGATCTGACTTAAATTATAAGTGGATTAGTTTTGCTGTTGGGTTGAGATACAGCTGCAGGTGGGCCAAGGTGGAGCTGGGAGAAGGGGACAGGTGTAAAAACTATGGCTTGAACAAGGGTGACAGTGTTGGAAATGGTATAAAGTGGTTAGATTCTAAATGTAGTTTGAAAGTACAGCTAACAGAAGACTTCATGATCACTAACAATGTTTACTTAAGCAGCTAGTGCATCTAGATAATCATATTATGTGATTAAAAAAAACATACAACGGGGATAAAGGATACTTTCCTTTTCCTGGTTCCATTCAGAACATGAAGTATGCCTTACATAAGTGGAAGAACAGAGTAGGGCATGATAGACAAAAAGAACAATGTGAACAAAGGAAGAGAAGACAAGAAGGGATATAATTGAGAAATGGCACTAGATCGATTTTGACTGGAGTAGGTGCTTCCTGGGAGAACAATGGGGAAGAAAAGGCTGAGGAGAGACAGGGAAAGAGCCAGGCTTTGGTAGAAATGGCATGACCGGCAAGAGGGCTTGTATCAGGTAAATCTTAAGAACTTTTGAGCAGAAATTGATTTGAGATCAGAGGGCTTTAGAAAGCTAAACCTGACAGCAGGGCTCAGGATGGAGAGGTACGGCTGACCAACGGCCTCCTACACCTGATTCAAAGGGCTTGATTTCAGTCCCAGGAACAAAAGGTACAGCATGGGGAAAAGAATTAATGGTATCACACCAATGTTGCCTAGTGACAGACAGTAACTACACTTGTGGTGAGCACAGCATAACTGTAGTTGTTGAATCACTAGGCTGTATACCTGAAACGGAGGTAACATTGCGTGTCAACTATACTCAGATCAAACAACAGCAAAAAAACCCAAAGAACTTGATTTCCTTATCTTTAAACCCAGTGGTCTTCTCATCAAAGGGTACTGTTAGGAAGAAATACCTGGGGAAACAGAAGAACATTTACGAAGCCACATCGTTTGGTTCATGTCAGGTGACCACGTCACGAGTGTCACTGCTTGATCAACCCACATCAGGCCGCGGCTGTGCATACAGGATGGAAATGGATGCCAGTGCTGCTGTGCATGTTTTACACAGACCAGCTCAGTGGGAGGCATGTCTTTTCTTATACTCATTTAATAGGTGGAAGACTAAAGCACAGAAAGGTCAAGGAAGTTGCTCAGAATCACAGACCTAAAAAGTGGCTGGACTGGGGCGCCTGGGTGGCTCAGTGGGTTACCGCTGCCTTCGGCTCGGGTCATGATCTCGGGGTCCTGGGATCGAGTCCCGCATCGGGCTCTCTGCTTAGCGGGGAGCCTGCTTCCCTCTCTCTCTCTGCCTGCCTCTCTGTCTGCTTGTGATCTCTCTCTGTCAAATAAATAAAATCTTTAAAAAAAAAAATTAAAAAAAAAAAGTGGCTGGACTGGGATTTGAACCCAGGCAGTGCACTCTCAAAATTCATGCTCTTGGCTACAAAGCCATACTGTTTGTTCAAACTCAGAAAACTATTAAAAAAAACCACACACACACACACACACACACACACACACACACACACACACTCATAGATGACAATATCAGCCCAACCCTACAGGAGCTTAGGATGTGGACATGACAATACACTAAAATATCTACAAGGCTGCTACACCGCTCCCCATTTTCCATTCAATCAAGCTAGAAAAAAAATATCCTGCCGCTGAAGAGAAAGAGGAGGGGCAGAGAATTCTCCATAGCTGCAATGAATAATAACTAATTTGATGATTTGTCTCCTTCACACTCACTTCAAGCAGCTTTTATTCCTCTATAGAAACAGCACTTTTATTTTTGTTCAAAGAATGCTAGTTAATGAAATGAAGAATCTGGATGGAATTTATATAGCCATGATAGTTCACTGATGGTAATACAGTGTGAAATGCGGTTGGGTGGTAGAAGACGCAGAGGTTCTGATGCTGAATAAATTCATGCTATTTCTTTTGTCAATGTGTAACTGTCAGGTTGTGACCCCTTAGCAAAGTTCTAGCCCAATTCCCACTGAATGGCTGTTTACAAGATGAGTACATTGAAATGATGACTTTTAGAGGAAGCAGTAAAAAAAAGAGCAGCAGTGTGCTGTATTTAGCAATGTAGGACCACATAAATCCATTTTTTCCTTTTCCTCCCGGGTCGTCTTCTAATAAATTACTGTAAAGCCTCCCATGTCAGTAACAACTGAACCAGAATTTTCTGAGTCCCTCACCATGAGCCCTAAATCCCATCGGGGTAGATGCTGCAGCCAGTTCATTGAATTCTTTTGTATTAGGTAGAGATTAATTCAGCTTAGAAAGTTCAGAAATAAGAGAAACCAAGAGGCAACAACAATCAGAAAAGTCAACACAAGCATTACGTTTTTTTAATACTGAGCAGAATGAGCATGGAGACTGGAAGGGAATCTTGAGTTATGAAGTCCAATCTCTGACTTGGCTTTTTTTTTTTTTTTTTTTTTTGGTGACACTGAGGAAATACCTCCATCTCATGCTGTCTCATTGTAAAATGAGGATTTTCCACCTTACAATTTCACAATGAATCTTCGGGAAAGGTCACACCAAACACTCCTTTGACAAAGGAGACAAAGGGTATTATCATCTCACACAAAGGGCAGTATAAGCTCAGACAAAAGACAATGTGCTGTGTGTTTTTCCACATACAGCATTTCTTCCCCACAAGGAACATGACATAGAAGAGAAAACATGACTATTAGAATGAGCTATACCTAGGTCAGAATCTTTGATCTGTGATTTTTTTTTTTTTTTCCTGGCTGTGTAATTCTCTAATGCTCTAAGAAACTCAGTTTGTTCAGTTGTATAATGG